ATCCTGAACATTTTTTCATGTGTCTGTTGGCCATTTGGATTTCCTCTTTTGAAAAATGTCTGTTTAAGTCTTTGGCCCATCTCTTAAGTGGGTTGTTTGTGGAGTTTCTTGATCTCTTTGTAGATTTTGGTTATTAATCCTTTATCAATTGCATAGTTTGCAAATAATTTCTCCCATTCTGTTGGTTGCCTCTTCACTTTCCTGTTTCTTTTGCCATACAAAAACTTCTCAATTTAATGTAATCCTAGTTGTTAATTTTGGCTTTAGCTGTCTGTGCATCTGAGGTATTTTCCAAGAAGTCTTTGCCTGTGCCACTATCTTGCAGGGTTACTCCGATGTTCTCTAATAATTTGATGGTGTCGGGTCATATATTTAGATATTATGTTTATGTGATTAGGTTTAAAGAAACACATTATTTAAAGTAAGTTGAAGATCCTTAAAATGACTCACAAGGTGTCATAATGAAATCTTTTGCTCTCCCTCCACTTTATAATGCCATGATTGAAAAACAAACAAACAAAAAAGACGTGGGAGGGGATCTTCCATCCACTCCCCAAGCAGCCACAACAGCTGGATCTGGGCTGATCCAAAGCCAGGAACATCTTCTGGGTCTCCCATGAGGATACAGGGACCCAAGCACTTGGGCCATCTTTTACTGGTTTTCCAGGCCACATGCAAGGGCTGGATCAAAAGAGCAGCAGCCAGAACTAAAACCACTGCCCATATGGGATGCCGGCACTGCAGGCAGTGGTTTTACCCACCACACCATAACACCGCCTCTAGGTCATGATTCTTAATGATTTGTAGTTTGCCTTTTTAAAACACAAAATACACACTGCTCAATCAACTATTAGGCTTATCACAAACGAGTAACCAAACACAAAAAATAGGAGCCAGATCAACCATCTTGGAGGAAGGTGGGACTGGAGAACTATCAACACCTTCAGTTTTTGAAGCCAAGAAAAGGTAAAGATTGTCACTGGAGTTTTCTTAATAAACTTGCAGGATGGACTATAAAAGCTCACAGCATCTGTGAAATAGGAAGTTAATGATCATTTTAGCCATTGGGTCCATAACTCAGAAGGAATAGATAATAAACATTCTTGAAATTCAAGAATGGACTCAAAATAAGTGGTTAAAAAGTAAAATAGGTTTTCACAGCATATTCTTCACAAAACAACTTGGAAGGAACGGAAGTTCCTATTACGCATTGATGTTTGTTTTCTCTGAAGTAGCCATTCTTTCTCTCCAGAGTATGTCCTCTGCCCAACACTAGCAACTGTTCCTCAAGGAGATGTTTTTATTTCATTATATAATAAGCCATTATGCATTTTTTCCATTTCAGCAACTCCTTTCTTCTTGAGAATATCCTTAAGTCATTTTCCTCCTCCTTTCTATTCTTCACGATGAAGAAATATAACCAGGGGGCGGGGGGGGGGGACCTAAACATTCTTACTTAAGTATTTCAGGCCTAGTAGGAATGAGAGAAAAATGACTGGAAAGGCTAACAGTCTAAGAAAACGCTCATCTACTGAGCAATGCTGCAGATAAAAATGAGAAACTAGCAGTGTTGGTGTTGTTAGGAGATACTTCCCCCCAAAAATAAGTGTTGACTTCTGGTCATTCTTAGAGTTGTCATCTGTTCTCTTTTGAAGGGTATATCCAGAAGATAAATCTTGTTCTGCTTTTTCCTAGTGACTAAATAGCCAGAGACAGAACACAAGCAAGCAGTCACTAACAAGACCTTCCTTTCTATTGTAGAAGGTCATGGATTAGATTTGACTAAATTCTTAGCTGGCAATTTGAGCCCACCTCTTTGGGAAAGCACTTCACCACTCTTTCTCCAAGTCTGTCCCAACCAGGGACCCTTCTCTCCCATACATCTACTTTATCTCTTCTTTACTGTGAGTCTTGGCTTACCCTATACCCCAATCCAGAATGCTATGCTTCCAGCCCCTACCAGGCACCCTATAGTTCCTGCAATATTCAAAACTTCTGTCTTAAGCAACCTCCTACTAGCCCAACTTCACAATGTAGATTTACCTTCCTCTAAATAATGTCCACAGCATATATAGCACAGTGTCTGGCCTTTAAAAGTTAGCTTTTTTTTTTTTTTTTTTTTTTTTTTTTTTGGACAGGCAGAGTGGACAGTGAGAGAGAGAGAGACAGAGAGACAGGTCTTCCTTTGCCGTCGGTTCACCCTCCAATGGCCGCCGCGGCCGGCGCGCTGCAGCCGGTGCACCACACTGATCCAAAGCCAGGAGCCAGGTGCTTCTCCTGGTCTCCCATGGGGTGCAGGGCCCAAGCACTTGGGCCATCCTCCACTGCACTCCCTGGCCACAGCAGAGAGCTGGCCTGGAAGAGGGGCAACCGGGACAGAATCCGGCGCCCCGACCGGGATTAGAACCTGGTGTGCCGGCACCTCAAGGCAGAGGATTAGCCTATTGAGCTGCAGCACCGGCAAAGTTATCTTTTATTACTATAACTTTAACTGTTTAGATATTACATTGACAATTTTACTATCACAGGAAATCTTAAAGATCACTTCCAAATATTTCAAGCTTTCATTTATCACCTTACCTGTTTAGTTCCTGTCTGCCTCTAACTATGCGTATAATGTTTGAGTAATACTTGGTGAATCAAGTTATGTGTGGCTTCTTAAATTTCTTGATTATATCAACAAGACAACCAAATGGGTTGAGCTACATGCCAGCTTTATATTAATATGAGATAAAGCTGTTACAGAAGTGTATCCAGCTGTACTTGGGTCTAGAGAACTTAGGGAAAATGAGGAGAACTAAAATGAGTGCTCTAAGGATTTCTACCCACCCTACATCTGTGCATTGAATTGATTAGATGTTTGGTACAGCTGCCTTCTTAATGGTGTTCATAATTTGATTTCCATTTAAATGAAAGATCATTTCTTTCCAGAGAACACAAGTGTTTGCCTAAAGATCTAAGAACTTCTGACAGTTAATTTTCATTTCTTCGCTTTGAATTTTAAGATCCTGGTTAAGTTTCCTTAACTTCAGTAGCTGACAAGTTTACTGAAGACAACTTAAGAAGCCTATTCATAGGCCAGCCCTCATCTCTTCAGGGGAGGAAAATAGAAGTACTTCTATGCTTCTCTCAAACTGTTCCTATAGTGATGAACAGCCTCTTGACTAGCTCTTTATTACCTGTACTTTGGCTAGGAACCCATTCCTTCCTAGGCAGAAAACAGATCTGAGAAATTTCTGAACCCCTAAGTGAATGATAGGAATCATGAATGAGATTAGGGTGGCCTGTGAAGCTTTTCTATTGAGTGGCTTAAGGCTGGGTATGGCATTTTCCATTTATCAACTCCGTGACTACTGGATACCTAAAATGTCAATCACAGCAGTTACATTTTCAACTAGAGTACGAATTGTCTTATAAAGACACCAGGAGTAATGGACTTGACTTTACAGCAAAAGAAGTTTTAAATTTATGCATGAAGGATTGAGAGTTTTTTTTAAGTCTTAATTCTGTTTTCCATGAATGTTGAGGTACCCTTATAATTTATCAGCCTTACTAAAAAAAAAAAAAATCCAAAGAATTTAACTCAAATTATTAGACAGCTGTGAGAAGTCACTCAAAATTGACTTGAGGCTTATCCCAAAATTCCTAACGTATTCTTGAAAAACTGACAGCCTTTTACTGAGCTTAAGTATGTTACATAAACGTTAAATTTTACCCTTTTACTTACCATTTACAACCCATGCAGGAGTATACTGCAGGATTCTACTGAATTCCCTATTCCCTAACAAGAAATTTGCATCTGGGAGAAATTTTGAGTCTACCTTTTTTTCAGAAGAAGACTCAGATGCAGGTGCAGTGACTTCTCAGAGTCAAACAGCTTGTCAGTAAGCAGATCTAGGATTGAACTCAAATCCTCTTACTCTAGCCCAGTGCTCTTTGTTAAGTCGACAACATTCTGAACAAACAAGGGGTTACATTAAAACAAATTCAGTTCTGCTTATAAATTCCACTAAAACACAGCATCATCCTTGGGAAAGAAACAAATATGCTGACATAAGTTACAATTGCTAAAAATGCACAGATTTTGAGGCATTGCCTAGACTATTGATCCTATTGAAAACAAAACAAAATCACTGGGAATCTGAAGGAAGAAAAAAGTCAAGCATCTCCCCTTAGGAAAATGATCTGAGATAATGGAGAATTATCAAGGGCTCTGTAGTAGCCTGGGTTCAAGTACAGACCCCCAAACAAAGGTTTGAACAAATGCCATGTGGTGATACTGTAATATCCTAGATGTGCAGACATTCATCTTGGCCATTGGTTAAGATGCATGCACCCATTACATGAGGACTGGGTTAGAGTTCTGCCTCTATTCCTGATTCCAGCTTCCTCCTGATGCAGTCCATGGAGGCAGCAGGCGATGGTTCAAGTAGTCAGGGCCCTGCCACTCAGGTAGGAGACCTGACTTGAGTTTTTGGCTCTCTGCTTCAGCCCTCTAACTGCTGCAAGCTGTTTGAATTCCCATTCACTGGCCCATTCCCTAACTCTCAATGTCTTCCTTTCAAATGATACATCAATCGTAAAGAGAGGAAATGGCTAGCATTAGTACCTGGAAAAAAGGCAAAGAGACTACCTCAAGAATGCTATGTGGGTGCAAACTGTTGAAATCTTTACTTAATATATGCTAAACTGATCTTCCGTATATAAAGAGAATTGAAAATGAATCTTGATGTGAATGGAAGGGGGGAGGGAGAGGGAAAGGGGAGGGTTGCGGGTGGGAGGGAAGCTGTGGGGGGGGGAGCCATTGTAATCCATAAGCTGTACTTTGGAAATTTATATTCATTAAATAAAAGTTAAAAAAAAAAAAAAACAAATGAAACAGGAAAGGAGACTTAATACGAATGACAATAAAAATTTCAAAAAAAAATGACATGTGGTCTGAATACAAAAATCTCCACATACCTCATTTTTATATTTTATTTATTTATTTGAGAGGTAGAGTTACAGACAGTGAGAAGTAGAGACAGAAAAATCTTCCATCCACTGGTTCACTCCCCAAATGGCCACAACAGCCGGAGCTGCACCGATCCGAAGCCAGGAGGCAGGAGCTTCTTCCAGGTCTCCCACATGGGTACAGGGGCCCAAGGACTTGGGCCATCTTCTACTGCTTTCCCAGGCCACAGCAGAGAGCTGGATTGGAAGAGGAGCAGCCGGGACTAGAACCAGTACCCATATGGAATGCTGGCGCCATAGTGCCACCACCCACGCACTGCTAAAATAGAACAGATGTAATTCATGAATTGTCTCCCCTGTCTTCTGCTCTACTGCCCATATCCCAGGATGTCAAAGTTTGCTCCATAGCCCTGTAGGGAAGGACTCCTCTTCCACTGTTCCTCTGAGAATACAAGCATCCTCCTCCTCACCAAGTGTTCTGGATCTTCCTACAAGAACTTTGTCTCCTTCTGGCAGAGTATGTTGGCTTGGTGACGAACCTATTTTCATTGTTTTTCCTCAGTATAGGACAGCATGGCATTAGGATTAACTAGAATGTCACGTGATCTACGGAAACAATTTATGTTGTTTTGTAAAAAAAAAAAAATACTGCTGTTGAAAAAGCTGTTGAACCAACTGATCTTTGCAGTCTAAAGTCAATTATTCCCTTTTCCCAGCCCTCCAACTCCTTCATCCTACACTCCCTACCCCTCTTCCTTGCTCCGTTGTTCCCTTCCAGTCCCTTTTCTTTTCACTTTTATCTACAAAGGATAAGAAACACAATCTAATTAGGGGAGGGCTATGTAAAAATCACTCCCTGAACTTGAGCACGAGAATTGCCAGGTTCCATATGTGAAAATAAATGAGACCTGACAAAAGCTTAAGAGGAAATTTTCCTTACAGAAAATATCAAATAATGCCCCTGCCACATCTCTTCCACCTATGTCAGCCTCTGCCTCTAAGAGGAGACCACTGGGAAAATCATTTCCTACTTTTTTGAGCCAAATATGTCTTAAACCCAGGTGTTGAGTGGTACTTTTCCCTAGATCCTTCTAGCTGGAGAACCAAATGGTGCCCTGGGTGTATTAAGACAAGTATTTCTGCCCTTAAGTATATACCCAACAAAGGAGAAAAGTACATGAGTGAGCATCTTGTGATCTGAGCACCTTAAGAGTCTTCTCAAAGAACTATGGGGGGCCACTGCTGTGGGGCAGTGGGTTAATGCCCTGGCCGGAAGCGCCAGGCGTCCCATATGGATGCCGGTTCTAGACCTGGCTGCTCACAAACAACAACAACAACTACAACTATGGAAGCACAGGGCAAAGAGACCTTTGTGGGACATTTTAGAAGAGAAGCAAAGACTTCTAAACCTAACGGGCTGAAGTCTCTAAAGATGGCATATACTCATTCATGGTGAACATAATGAAGATAAACTTTCAAGGCAGATGTGATGAGGTGTCTTCCAAAATTACTCAAGTTCTTCTTATTTGCTATCTTGCTCATCCAGCTGACTGCCCTTGAATTTCATGACCAGACTAAAACTCAAGAAGAATCCATGGCATATCCCAGATAAAGTTTGGCTACAGACAGATTGCCTCAAATGAAAGATAGTTTAACTTTAAACTTCCTAGTCTGTAAAATGGGGTAGTACCAACTCATCTGGGTTTTGTGAGGTGTCAGATATGAAACATCACACATACTTGATAAATTATAGAAGCAGTTGATAGTCAAAACAATTATGGTGGTGATGTCCCAAGAATGTCTTAAAGCAAGGCATACCTGAAGTATGTAACAATGAAGAAATGAAACCATTTTTCACACATGCTAGGGATCTATTAATGCTTTAGTTTATCCTTAGAATACCCATGCCTGCAGTGCTCAGTCTGTTATTTCCCCCTCTTTCCTAGGCACTGAACTCATCTCTCACATTGAACCAGGTTCCAAATCCTCTGTCCAGAGAGCAGGCAGCAGGAAGTGCATTAAAGTGCAGGAAGAGTACATTAAAGTGCGGGAAGAGTACATTTAAAGAGTGCTAGCATGGAAGCTACCTTCTCCAGCATATGCAACATTCCTCAAAACGATTCACGAGATGCTATCAAGGTAGAGATCTGTGGGGAGCAATCCGGACTAGACTGAGTTACTGGAATTAAGACTTATTCTATGCATCTGCTCTCCCACAATATGGCGCTGGGAGAGAAGTAAACAGCTTTTACACAGCTGCCTCCAGTTCAACCAATAAACTGTAGGACTTGCTCCTGATTGGAGGAGAGCAGCGTACTCGGCGTGTGGGCAGCCGAGTTGGGATTGGCAGAGGAGGACTATAAAGGAGGAGAGAGACGGCATGCACCAGAAACATCTAAGGGGAACATCTAAGGGGAACATCTAAGGGGAACATCTGAGGGAACACCTGTGCAGCCCCCGAGAAAGCCGGCCGGCGGTGTGCCGCTCCCCTGCGGAAGTGGGGAATGTGGCCAGGGGGAACTGCCCTTCCACGGAGGTGGAAGGGATAGTAGCCAACCCGGGAAGAACCAGCAGCAAACCCGGGGAGGGCCGAGCAGACGAAAGAACAGCGCAGGGTCCTGTGTCGTTCCTCCACGAAGAGGGGGAGCGACATAATGGTGCCGTGACTCGGATATGAAGCCTAGGCAGGGCTTAGTGTCATTCCCCCATGAAGACGGGGAGCGACATAATGGTGCCGTGACTCGGATATGAAGCCTAGGCAGGGTTTAGTGTCGTTCCCCCATGAAGACGGGGAGCGACAGAGATCCAAAACTCAAATCATCTGCCACCTTCCTCTTCTGCCTCACTTAGAAGTCTACCTCTGAACCCCAGTTCTGCTGCGTTTGAGAAACTGAGTTTAGTAGGAGACCCAAATGAGCATTAGGATTTAAGTTAGTAGGGCTTTCATGCTATGACCCTTTGGGCTTTTTATCTTGACATTTCATTTTGTGCAATAAGCAAAAATCTTTTTTAAAGATTCTTTTTCATCCCCTGGGGAGTAAAGTGAAGGATTTTAACCCATCCCGTTTTAATGGAAGCACTGAGTCAGAAAAGACAAGAGCCCAAGATAGAAACAAGAGGGCATCCCACCATTCATAACTATGGTCTAGTGCTCTGAGATACTGGATTTAAAGCCAGCAACCCACACCCCACTCCTGAGGGAAAATTGACAACTCACAGCCCCTTAGAATAAGTTATCACACTTGTATCCTGTGACCCTAGACTTACCTTCAGTTAGTTGGCTCAGGAATGTGTTCCTTTAAAAACATGGCTATTCATCCATGGGCTGGACTCAGACCTGTGGTCTAGTGGGAAGGGCTGACCTGAGCCAGTCAGTCAGATTCCATTCTTCAGGTTTCTGCACAGGGAAACAGGATTAAGGCAACTGGCAATGGGAACAGGAGCTAAAGAGGGCATCAGAGGAATGGGCATTTGTCCTAGCAGTTAAAGACACCCATGTCCCACATCCAAGTAGATACATCAGTTCCCAATTCTGGCTCCTTACTGCTGCTTCCTGCCAGTGCAAAACCTGGGAGGTGGCAGTGTGTCTCAAGTAGTTGGGTATCTGCCACCCATATCAAAGACCCAAATCAAGTTCCCACCTCCTAGCTTTGTCCCTAGCTCAGGCCTGGCTGCAGTGCGCATTTGGGGGATGTACTAGCAAATTGGAGTGTTCTCTTTCTCACTCTTTTCTCCCCTCTCTAACAGATAGAATGAAGAGTGTGTCAGGACAGGTCATGTGGCAGAGAGGAACCGAGGAGAACAGAGGAAACTGATGCTATGTGTAAGTTGAGGTTCTCATGGAGCAGAAGCTATAAGGAAGAAGACATGCAGAGGCTCACCCCATTTTTATCTAGCGTCTTCCTTCCTCTGCCCATGAGTTAAGCCTCCTAGTTAATGGCTCAGCTCAACCTTTGCACTTTGCTCCCATGCTCTGCTTACTTTCCCAAACAACCTCACTTGGGCTGGACTTTGGATCCTCCTCCATTTTGAGCTATCTGGGAAGTCCATTTGCCTTTCCAGGAAAAGGTCAAAGGACTAAAGTGAAATGTGAGGTTTGATTCATGTGATGGAAAGTATAGGAAGACAACAAACCTACGGAAGGAGCCAATGTCAGCTTTGTATGCTGAATACTATTTTGGCATTGCCATGATTTTTGAAAGTCATTTGTAAAGCTGTAATAGTTTTTCACGTATATGACACTATTACAAGTGTCCTTACCAGCACTTTCCTGGCCAAATCATTCTTAATGCTTTAGCTTTCCCTCTTAAATCCGTTTCCAATTGCAATTATGGCAATTTTTCAAATCTAGACCTTGGTATCGGATGGAAGTCAACCTAAATTTTTGCTTCTTCTTATGCCTTCAGCGATAAAATTGAGAAAATGGAGATATTAACTAGTTCTTCTGATATCCTAGTAAACAATTTAAGATACGATAATAATTACTGTGGTAACTTGAAATAAAGCAAATGAAGTTTTAAGGATTACATTATAAGGCAAGCTTTGATAAAGGTTATTGGAGCAGTAAGAGTTAGGAAGATCCCTAAGGATATTATTTGGGTCAGATAAGAAATTTTGTTAGACTTTATTCCACGGTATCTGCTAGCAGTTTTATATCTTTGCATTTTATGTTTAGGACTATGGTTAACTTTGATGTTAACTTTTGTGAAAGATCTAAGGTCTTAGACTAAGTTAATTTTTCGCATGTGAATATCAAGTTTTTCTGGAACTATTTGTTGAAAGGATAATCTTTGCTCTGTTTTATCTGGCATTGCTTCTTTGTCAGATCAGTTGGCTGTATTCACATACGTAATTCTGGGCTCATTGATATATTCCATTTATGTTTGCCTAGTCTTGAAAGTCATTTGTAAATTTTCCAACTTTGTTCTTTTCCTTCAATATTGTTGGATGCTCTGGATTTTTCTCCACAGAAATCTTAGAATCTCTTATCCATATCCAAATACGTTTCCTGGATTCTTTGTGGAAGAAGCTTTAATAGTTTATGTGTAAGGTGTACAATGTGATAATTTGATGTAAATATTGAATATATGGTATCAGGTCAGTTCATTTTCTTAGGTTTAGCTGTCCATTAATGTGGGGAGCAATCCGGACTATACTGAGTTACTGGAATTAAGACTTATTCTATGCATCTGCTCTCCCACAATATGGCGCTGGGAGAGAAGTAAACAGCTTTTACACAGCTGCCTCCAGTTCAACTAATAAACTGTAGGACTTGCTCCTGATTGGAGGAGAGCAGCGTACTCGGCGTGTGGGCAGCCGAGTTAGGATTGGCGGAGGAGGACTATAAAGGAGGAGAGAGACGGCATGTACCGGGAACATCTATGGGGAACATCTAAGGGAACCCGTGCAGCCCCCGAGAAAGCCGGCCGGCGGTGTGCCGCTCCCCTGCGGAAGTGGGGAATGCGGCCAGGGGGAACTGCCCTTCCACGGAGGTGGAAGGGATAGTAGCCAACCCGGGAAGAACCAGCAGAAAACCCGGGGAGGGCCGAGCAGACAGAAAGAACAGCGCAGGGTCCTGTGTCGTTCCTCCACGAAGAGGGGGAGCGACATAGTGGTGCCGTGACTCGGATAGGAAACCTAGGCAGGGTTTAGTGTCGTTCCTCCACGAAGAGGGGGAGCGACACATTAACACTTAGCTGTGGCTGGTACTGCAGCTCACTAGGCTAATCCTCCACCTGCGGCGCTGGCACACCGGGTTCTAGTCCCTGTCGGGGTGCCGGATTCTGTCCCAGTTGCCCCTCTTCTGGTCCAGCTCTCTGCTGTGGCCTGGGAGTGCAGTGGGCCCTGCACCCGCATGGGAGACTACTGGGAGAAGCATCTGGCTCCTGGCTCCTGGCTTTGGATCAGCGCATTGCGGCGGCCGCAGCGGCCATTGGAGGGTGAACCAACGGCAAAGGAAGACCTTTCTCTCTGTCTCTGTCTCTCTCTCACTGTCCACTCTGCCTGTCAAAAATTAAAAAAAAAAATACTTAGCTGTATCTATTTGTGTTACCATGTGTTATGTCAATAAGTAGTGTGTACAGATGACATCAAGGTAATTAACTCATCTTGTTCCTTGTTACTATGTTTGGGGACTTTGAACTTCCCTTCCACTTGTCAGTTAGGGTGAATTGTCATCCCACTGTGATGTGGAAATCTAGAATTCAATCCTCCCATCTGAATTTTGGTACCCAATTTCCAAGCTCCTAGCCCTACCCCATAATGATGTTCTATGTCCAAATAAAGTTTTCACTTCCATGTAAGCTACTAAAATTTGATAGCAATTGTGCTGAGTCTAAGATTGAGTTGGAAACAACTGATAGTGACAATATTGAGTCTATGAACATATACTCTCCATGTAGTTGTTTGAGTTTTGTGATTTCGTTCATTTAGGTTTCTTGTACAAGTTTTGTTATATTTATACCTAGGTGTCTCACCTTTGGAAGTCAGTGTTTTGTTTGATTCCAAATTCTACTTGACCACTGCTGGCATATAAAAAAGTGGTTGATTTTTGTGTATTCCTGTATCCTGCAACTTTGCTATAGTCACATTTTAGTTCCAGAAGTTTTTATTGGTTAAGGTTTTCCACATAAATGAAAATGTCATCTGCAGTTTTATTTCTTCCTTGTATCATTTATGTTAATGCATTAGTTAAAACATCCAGTACAATGTTGAAAAACTCATGAGAGCAATCTGTGACTTGCTTTGATCTTGATGGTGAAACTAAAAGCTTTCCTACTAAGTATAATACTATCTAAAAAAAAAAAAAAAAACTACAAAAACGCTTTAATCAGAGTAGGGAAGTCCCCCTCTAGTCCTAATTTACTGAGAATTATCACAAATGATTTTTGGGTTTTTGAAATGATTTTTCTGAGTTTGTTGTGATGAAACAGTTTCCCTTTTTACCCTATGTGATAGGCTACACTGATTTCCAAATCTTGAAACACTGGGGCCAGCACTATGGCATAGTGGGTAAAGCTGCTGCCTGTGGTGCCAGCATCCCATATGGGCACTGGTTCATGACTTAGCTGCTCCACTTCCGATCCAGATCACTGCTATGGCCTGAGAAAGCAGAAGATGGTCCAAGTCCTTGGAACCTTGCACCCGCATGGGAGACCTGGAAGCAGTTACTGGCTCGTGACCTTGGATCAGCCCAGCTCCAGCTGCTGCAGCCATTTGGGGAGTGAACCAATGGATGGAAGACTTCTCTCTCTGCCTTTCCAATAAAATAAATGTCTTTAAAAAATATTGAAACATACATAACACTTGTACCTGGGCTAAGTCTTACTAGGTCATAACACATAGTTTTTAGCAGGGGATGCTGGTGTTGTAAGCAGCGGCTTTATTCTGTGCCATAATGCTGGCCCCTATATTTTTTTTTTCTTAAGAGATTGATTTGTTTAACATAGGTTATCAAATTAGTGATCATAGAGTGGTTCATAGTATTCCTTTATTCTTCTAGTATTTATACCTAGTCCTCTCTAGGTAAGACCCGCCCACCCCCATCTTCTTCCAGGATTTGACTTTAAGTTTGAGTATGACAGAAGGCGGAACATAGGAGGGGGCAAGAGTCAAACTGAGCATGAAGCCTTTAGAAGATCCTTAATCCCATTCACGGCAAACCCCCACAGCCTGGTCACCTCTTAAAGGTCTCACCTCTTAAGATCATGGTGGCATTGAAGATTCAACAACTAAATTAGAGGGGATACATCCAAACTTGACAGGGGCCTTCATAGGAGTGACACGTGTTTTCTTATTCAGCCAACTCATCTGTATGGGAAAGAAATTCCGCAAGGGCAAAACCAACCATTCAGGCAGCTGCAAAAAAAGGCTTGAACACCTTAGTACAGTAGAACTGCATTCCTGGGTCATGGGTGGGTGGACAAGATGAAAGTCACCTGTGTTTCAGTGACAGACCAAACATCTAGCAGCAGTAATCACTCCAAAAACAAACTAAAGCAGAATAGCTCTGGTTCATAGAAGTTTATAGAAGACAAAGTTTTCCTTTGAAGCAAAATGTCTCCGGTATCTCAGAAAAGGTCAGACCACCAGTGTGAAAGCAGGAATTGGCAATGCACTGTAGACAACGTCAGAAACCAAGTATCAGATGAGGCTTGTATTCCCCCTTCAGTGAGCCATAATTCAATGAGAATTTTATTATGCAGATTCGCTGGGAAGTACAGGTCTTGACAGCTCTGCCAAGTGCTCAGCACATCACAATGGCAGTCACGTTGTTCTAGTGAGAAAACACTGTACCTTGAAGACAAGGGCTGGAGCTGATATAAAAGTTTAATGTGTTCATCTTGCTTAATACAGCGACATCTTGAGAGAACAAACAAATGATACTTTAAGGTCTGTTCTGTGCCAAGTTAACCAGGAGGAAAATTTGTTCAGAACTCAGCTGTAAAGCATTAGTCATCCGAATAGGGATGCTTGCTTATTTGTTGCCTTTAAACAAGAGCTTATTTTATGTTTCTTTTAAGTATTATCATATATAATAATCCTTCAGTGTTAACTACCAGTGTCACTATAAGTAGTTTAATGTTCTTTATATTTATCAAATTATCTCAACTAATACAAGGTAAGTGCCTAAGTTTTCTTCTTTTTTTTAACTTTTATTTAATGAATATGAATTTCCAAAGTACAGATTATGGATTACAATGGCTTTTTCCCCCCCATAACTTCCCTCCCACCTGCAACCCTTCCCTCTCTCGCCCCCTCCCCCCTTCCATTCACATCAAGATTCATTTTCAATTATCTTTATATACAGAAGATCAATTTAGCATATATTAAGTAAAGATTTTAACAGTTTGCACCCACATAGAAACACAAAGTGTAAAATACTGTTTGAGTACTAGTTATAGTGTTGATTCATATTGTACAACATACTAAGGACAGAGATCCTACATGAGGAGTAAGTGCACAGAGACTCCTGTTGTTGACTTAACAAATTGACACTCTTGTTTATGGCATCAGTAATCACCCTAGACTCTTGTCATGAGTTGCCAAGGCTGTGGAGGCCTTTTGAGTCCACTGATTCTGATCTAAGTTTTCTTCTAC